TATATATATAGTTTAACAAAGTAGTGACGTAAAAGTGCTTTAACACACATTAGACATTTTTAAACGTCACATTTATCCAGCTGCTTCATAAATGCTTGTGTGTACAAATACATTTGCATGATCCAGTCTTGTAGCTCAAAATTATCCTCAAACACTGAAACTATGAAGTCTTTTTGACAAGGCTACTTCGTGATGAAAATAATAACTATTAATCATCCTTAAAGCAATTATCCACTGACAACTGGGCCAAACTAGCCAATTTGATTTGTTTACATCATTTCACTGCCTTTTCAATACATTTACACAGTTTTCTTCTTAGATTTATTCTCATCATTTCTCTTTAATGGCTGTGATGGGAATTGCTGGACAGGAGCACTGATTAAGCATCTCTGGTCAATTGCAGAGCAATAAAACCAACAACATGTATTATTTTTGTGTTTATAGTAAGTAAATCACTTCAGAGCATGTTTATGTGTTCGACATGTACATTGCCAATATCTTGCTTCAGGTTTCTAAACCACAGGGGTTTTTTTTTCAACTATTTTGCCAAATATAAAACAACCACTGGAGGATGCATTGAAAGTTGGTTATAACAAGAGTAATTTGGAAAGGAAAGACAYGACAGAAAAGGATGGAAGAAGGTAATCAGCTCTATTTTACCTGCAGAGACCATGCTGTGAGCGTGCGAGGTGGTTGGCAGGCAGTCGGTGGTCGAGCCGTGGTGCATGAGGATCGGCAGAGACGCATCTGCTGCCAGTGAGGTGAAAGAGTCAGGACCAAATGCCTGGCATGCCATTTTTTTTTTCTGGATCACTCAAGCAGTTCCAAATGTACACTGATGTTAGTCTTCCAACAAATTTACAGTCTTTTTAACTATTTGGTCTTTTCCATTTTTGCTTGTTTTTATATTTAGCTTTTTTTTTTTATCCTTGCATTCTTGAGATCTGTCTGCTTCTGTGTGTTTCTTGTGATGTCAGCTTTTTTGTGCCTCGTGTCTTTTTGCCTTGTCTCCTTCGGCCTCCTCTTGCTCTGCTGTCTTTCTCTGGCTGCGACTAGTCGTCTTACACCCTCAGGATTGTCTTCTTATCTTGTCCTTTTCTCTCTGGCTCAGTCAAGCATACGTCTCTCTTCAGGCTCTGGGGAATCTATGAGGATGAAAAAAAAAATAAAGTAAAACTGAATAAAACCGAGATGAGTTTCTTTTTTCTTTTTTTTTTCTCMAAGAGAAATGGATGTCGGCACCTCCGTCAGAACCCTTCACAGTTTCAGGCACAACTCTACCCCTCACACAAAACCTTTGCAGATGAACAGTGAAGAACTTTAGCTTCAAGTTAAAATCTCTGCTGGAGCTGCTGAGATGTGGTTCTCGACTACAGAGGCCTCTTGCTGTCTTTATTCAACAGCAGCGATGCGTGGAAGTCATACCCTCGGCATTTTTCTGCTTTGGTCTACTGCAGGTATTTATATCCCACCCACCTACACCTAACCACTGCCCCTCCTCGACCTATGAGATCCCCTTTTTTTTTCCTATCAAGCTGCCCCCCCACCCCCCACCACCACCTTCCAATTCTAAGTCAGTGCTGTAATTGCTTGTGTCTGTACTTACCTATGTTCTTATCCCATTTCCAAATCCAGGATTAGGGTACAGAGCGSCTGAGAAACCTGATCCTCTGCTCGCCGCTGCCTTTTTCACCCCCGTCCCTTTTGCTTTCCCTGATTACCAGATTAAGAGGCAATGGGAAAGGAAAGTGAACACTCAAAAAATTTATTTATTTTTTACAAATATTACAACTTTATTATCTATGAGTAGAAAGGGAACATAAAGCTGCACACGGAAGTTTTTAAAGAAGAGTCCCAAAAGACGATTAAACATTATTTTCCACCGGTTCTCCTACGTGTTTTGTTGTAGATTTATGTTAAACTGCAAAAACTGTCCATTTTAACAAGTTTTAAAATCTTATATCCAGCCAAAAAGTATTTTTGATCTTGTTTTGAGACTGATTTACTAAACAAGAACTGATTGCGTAAGAATAATAATCTTGTTTTCAGAATGTGTCAGATTATTTGTCTTGTTAGTCTGAAAATTTGACTCAAATTAAGTCAAAAATTTCTGCCAATGGAGTAATAAAGTTTTACTTGGTAAGATTCTTGAAATAAGAAAAAAATTGAGTCAAATCAAGTATTTCAAGAATCTTASCAAGTAAAATTTTCTTACTCCATTGGCAGAAATTTTTGACCTAATTTGAGTCGAATTTTCAGACTAACAAGACAAATAATCTTACATATTCTGAAAACAAGGTTATTATTCTTACACAATCAGTTCTTGTTTAGTAAATCAGTCTCAAAGCAAGATCAAAAAGACTTTTTGGCTGATATAAGAT